TTAAGATTGCTAGTTTGCAGCTATGAGAGTGCTAATATCCAGCTAGAGAAGACAGGAAGGGACTAGGGGCTATAAGAGGGATTAGATTCTGCTGGGAAAAACATCTCGCCTTCATAATATTTTTGAGGTTTTTAGGAACCAAATATTTCTTTTTGTATCTCCTAAGTCTCGATTTGGAAAGCCCCTGCGAAATTGAGTAGTAGATTTAGATCTGATCAAATGAAGCATTTCATACAAGGCGTCATTCTATGCTGAAACTTCCTACCACAACATATATTACACTGGAGTTGGGCGGCCAATAAATTTAAACAAACAAACAAATTTAAATAAATAAATAAATTGACAGTCTTTGAAGCATGGAATTGTCATGGAAAGGCAGTTTCTTTCTCCATATTAAATACCAGAGCAGGCAAGACACACACATCAACTGTTTCTCTGTTTTATAGTTTTGGTTTTTTATTATGTAAAGTGCCCAGAGTTAGTTGGGCATTCTTTACATCTATGAAAACCAATAAACGTTCTACTAACAGCATAGTTTATGATCTACTTCCAGGGATGTTTGGGTCTCTTGAAGAAAATCTGAGTCATGTGACCGTCAACATAGGAGAAAATGCCTTGATTTAACTGTAGGTTTATTTATTTATAACATTTAGAGGCTGCCCCAGTCCATTTTGATTCTGGGCAACTTTATGGCAGTGATAAAACATTCTTATGGATCTCTTCTGGCTCTGCCCATTCAACTGAGCTATTTGTGATGAGGAAGCCTTCCAGAAATTTAACCTAAGCCTTGTGATGTTAATGACATTCTTCTCTTTCCTTAGGTTGAAGGAGAAGAGCTAAGCTTATGTGGAGCTTAGTTCAACAGCAATTTATTCAGGGTAATAAAAATAAAATAAAATGGATACCTGTTTTCCACTGCTAAAACTGAAGCGACTCTGTGAGAGCAACAGGAGAGAGAAGGATAAAAAGAGAGAAACCAACGGAGAGGAGAAAGAAGAGCGAGAGAGCGAAAGAGAAAGAAGAGAGCCCACTGCTAGCTCACTGAGACAAGGAGACTGACCGGAGATGGGAAGAGAAGCACTGGAGGACCAACTGGCACCTCACTGGGAGGGAGAACTAACTCGCCCTGGAAGAACTGAGTGGTCAGCGAAGTTCCCTGTCCCCTCCCCTGCCACCAACACACCTACTGAGAAAGAGAGGAAGGCTCTTAGAAGCAAGAATCATTTCATTCCGTTCTTATTGCAAGCAAGGTTTCACAGTTAGAGCAGGCGGGGAGAGGAAAACCCCCATCTCAGAGTTCATGTACCAATCTCTCCGTTTTTTGTTTTTAAGAGAAGGAAGGAAGGAAGGAAGGAAGGAAGAAACACCTGTTGGCCTTTTTAGGAACAAGCACACCATCCAAGAGGAAATGTCCTGAAGCTTGTGGGGAAGCCAGCTGGCTGGTACCCGACTCTGAGATGTGTGGTTTTGCTGTCCAGAATCTGGCTTTGAGCCTCGTGTGGCTTCACCCACAGTCTGAATGGGCGGCTTATGGCGAGATGGGGTGGTTCTTTTTTTTTTTTTTTTAAGAAATTCTTTCAAAGAAGCACTGGATATTTTTTTAGAAGTTTGTCTCTGAAATTTAGTAGTGGACCTGGAGGAAAATCCTTGTTTTGAGATACTTAAAAAACCATAAAGATACATATATATCTATCTATCTATCTATCCGTTTAACACAAGTTAGAACACCAATCTCTTCTGTGTGATTTCAGTCAATCAAACTCTTCTTCTGGGGGGGGCGTGCATCTTGCAAGGAAGCTGATGCATCCTGCCAGTGCAGTGGAGAGATCAGAATGGTGTTGTCAGTTTTAATTGGTTCCTGCCTGGGCTCTTCTCTGTGGGACAAGGTTGTATTTTTTTTAAAAAAAGAAACTTCTGAAAGGCATATGCTTTACAAAAGGGAGATGGGTATCTGTGCCCTCTGGCCCCTGAGAAGGAAGAACCCTGGGATTGACCTGCTTTTTATTAGTTGCTGCCGACATTGGGAAAACTGTAGTGGAAACAGGGGATTATATTGGTTTTGAAGCAAAGCTTCTCTAATGATATACTGAGATAGTTTGGAATTGTCTGGGGAGGAAGAGCAGGCAGATATTGTAAGGTGGCCACTGTTGGGCAAAAATAATCCTTGGAATGGAGGGTATTTTTCTTGACGTTCTGTACAGGGAACGGTGGAATGAGCACCAGAAGTTTAAACAAAGCTGGAGACCATGTTAGGGAGCAGGACCCTCGGTCAGGCTCCTTTGATTTATCATTTCAAATCCCAACTGGAAAAGGGCAATTTATTAAAAAAACAAAACAAAAAACTCACCTTGGCTCATAGCAGAAAGCATGTGTATCTGCATTAAAAGTTTTGAGAACAATTGCCTGTTACCCTATTATTGGTTTGATTTTCTTGCCACCAAAGGGGATCCCATTAAGTTCCTTTATCTGAGACAGTTTGACCAAATTCCTAGTTGCGTGATTTTTTTTTAATTAATTTAGCTTTCTTTTCCAATCAAAGGGCTCTAAGCGTCTGTTTTAACTTTTGTATGTGTTGAGGAACCCCCACAACTTTACATGAATGTACTTTAGAATCCCTACATTTTATTTTAAAAATTTGGACATTTGTAATGTTCATTCCCACTTCTGCCCTGCCCCCCAAAACAAAAACCCCTCTACGCTGCTCTGCAAGAAGTATATTAGCATTCATCAGGCCTTGCTTTACATTGCAGGTTTGGGAAGAGGGGAACAGGCGAATGAAAATCTGCAATTCTTAATTGAAAACGTCTCCAGAGTTTAGACTTCTACTATGTGTATGGGAAAGGGAGACAGGCCACCTTCCTGCCTGAAAGGTGGAATCTTTATTCCGACTCTTGGAGAACTGCTTGTTAATTTCCTTTCTTCTACCATCCCCTTTGCTGTGTGGCTGTGTAGATTTTTGAGCTAGACTAAATGCTAAACCTCTTTGTGCAATGCAACCCACTAAGTAACGTAGCTCCCTCCTCCTTCCACTGTCTTCCTAATTCCTTCCCATTATTCCCTCCTCCACATTTCACTAGGTAGCAATGCTTGCCTCTTCACGTTGATTTTTTTTTCTTTTGTAGCAGTTATAAAATGCTGAGTTTCAGTACAAAATCCCACCAAAACATCAGTGCTAGCGCGGTGCTGATTTTTTTCTGTCTCAGTTTGTTTTAAAACCTGTTTCTCATCAAATTAATAAAAAACGCTTGCATTCAGTGTCTGGGGACTTAAATTTCTGATGTTCAGTTGTTGAAATATATGGCTATAAACCTACAAGTTACCTTTCAGTCAGAAAAGTTCATTATGCACCCACACCTGTGTGTGTTTGTGTGTGTGTGTGTGCGTGCGTGCGTATATGTTCATATTCATCTTACCTTTTTTAAATTGTATTGGCTTTTGCTGATTACCCTCTTTAAAAACAAATCATACCATCTTCCTGCAACCAGCACTCAGGAGCAAATGAACAAGTTTTGTCTTGGAAATTCTTATATTGTGCTGGGGGCAGGGCAATAGTTCTTTAACCTGTATCAAATGTATATACAGCAATAATTTGTAATAGCTTTTACTGAACCAGTGGCCACACCTGATAGCCATTCAGTCTGTGCTGCTACATACAGCAGTGTATGTTAATAAATATATAACTCGTGCTCCAAATTAAAACAAAATATAGAATGACTCACCACTAAGAAGTGTGGTAGAATCTCTCTTTCTTGATGGGTGCCAAAATTCAATATAGATTTTTCTCTGAGAGAAATGGTAAAGCCAACTACCATTTAAAGTTGATTGCACAACTTCATTCTCCTGACCTGGCAGACTTTGGCATATTATCTGTGATATTTGAAAGCAACTTTCAAATGTTTATTTTACAGCCATAAGGGCTAGCTGAATTTAGAAGTAACAACTGTATTCTGGTTCCCACTGTGGCTAACCTGTTGTGACTGAATTCAATTAATATATATATATATTTCCCTTATCACAAGGGATTTGTTCTCATATCACTTTCCACTCCAATCTGATCCTTTATTAGTCTGCAGTGGAGGAATAGCCATTTGTTCCGCTTAGCTCTGAGTAAGTCTTACATTCTGGTAATACATGCGTGTTCATTCTCTTCCGGGATATTTAATTGCTAGAAAGGCCGGTAAGAAAACTAATTTCCACTTGTTGCTATACTTAACTCACAGATGCTTGTTTCCAGAAAAACCACCTTTGCTGCCCAGGGTTGCTGGGAGGTGGACAGCATATAAATGTTAGAATTTATTATTTTTAAAACATGATCTAGCAGGGAACTTTGATTTCTTGTTAACAGTATATGCTGCAGTTGTCCCTAGTTATCTAGTTTTATATCACAATATTAAAACCCAATCATGTTTCCAGTCCCATCTCTCCAGCAAGATGTTCATCTATACTACATTTAGTAATTAGTAAAGATGAAAATTCTGAATCCAGAAGTGTGTACCTCTGCGTTCCTTAGTGACCCTCCAGAGTTTAGGACTGAAATTTCAGAGGTACATTAAGGGAAGCACTTCATGCTGAATTAAAAGGTAACCAGATCATGATGGCCACTGGCTTTTAAGAAGTGTGTCCAGAGGAAGCCCTTGATGGCTGCATCAACGTTGCAGAAGCACTATGACTGCAAATATCAAATACTAGGGATGTGCGCAACAGAGAAGGGGCTTTGGCTAGAGAGGGCCAATGCTGTAAATCAGGCTATTTGTCTGATCTAGCAGACTCTTCCCACATTCTTTTGATAAGCACAGTGCTTGATGCTCGGTCCTCATTTAAAAATCCAATGATCCTGTGCAAGCAAGTTTGATGGGACTTGTTTTGAGGGAAGATCCTGAACAAATAACAAGGATTCACAATGAATTTTTGTCTATTTAATAAGATGATTGGTGAAGGAGTTTTAAAGTCAATCACAGAGATTTAAAATATATTACCTTTGTAAAACCAATTCTGTTGATTTTGATCCTAGGATAATTAACAAGTTACTTAGCCCCTATTTAAAAATAGACACGAGGTAGTGCAAGAAAAAGGCTCCCCATAAATTGTATGCAATTCCAGCAATTTTTAACAAAAGCATTTTGCATCCCACTTAATACTCCATGGCTATGCACAGCTCCTCTAGCCACTCACAAGCAAGGAGATCATAAACTCAATAACCACAACTGAACATTTGGTGGCTCATCTGATGATCAGATGGTGAACATCTGGTGGCAGGAAGAGGATGGTGAAACAGTGAATCATCTCACCGGCAGCCACATTCATCCACCACCATATCCTCATAATGTCTCAACACGACATTGTCGTTGTTGTCATAGTATAGAATGGATATCGGTGACAGGCGGATTGGGACACAGCAAGGCTGAGGGGTCCCTTCGGGGTCAAGAGAATGCACGATGGTTTGCAAGATGGCGTGGTTGGTGCCGTTGAGCTCCTCGGTCAGAGGGAAAGGACAGTCTCCAAGGCAGTAGTTGGCCATGTAACCCAGTGGAGCAATGATCCAGTTCCCCCAACCGACTTCACTGAAGCTGATGTACAGCCGCCGTGGTCTGCAAATGTTGCTGGCAGTGACTGGCACATAGTAGGTGCTACGCCTCTTCCTGGCACTTTTGCACTGCCCAGGAGTGAGAGAAACCACCAGCAGGGAGGTACTGAGCAAGGAATCAAGCTTGGAGCATAAGCTGTCAGGTGACGTCGGGAGGCTAATTTCAAGGAACAAGCCCAAATTCCTAGAAGGCGTCTGCCATTCCTTTGCCACCTCAGTCAGGTTGAAGACAAAGGACTTGTGCAGATGGATGAAGGACTGCTCCACCAGGAGCTGGCGGCTGTAAGTATGGGCGGACATGCCCTGCAAGGCCATCTGGGAAGCCCGATACAGACTTAACTCAAAGGGATGACCTGAGCTGGAGCTGTGGTACTGGTTGTGGCTGAACTGAATCTCCAGCTGGGCCAGGGTCAACAGTTCCCCTTCCTCCAGAGCGGAGAAATTAAAATACAGCCGTTTTTGTAGACATAAGCAACTCTGGGGTTCCTCTCTGTGGATCAAGTGTCCTAGAATGGATATAGAAATCAAAAGCACTTAGGGCCATGTTACAGATAGAAAGCATCTGGGGTGAGGGGAGAAGGGAACAACATCAGACAAGGGAACATTGATGCCATTCATGACACATTTAGGACTAAAATAATTCAATTTGTTTTTATCGTTTTCATCAGTTAACTGCCTTGTTTAGCAACCATTTGCAGTTCCAGTGGTAATGAAAAAGTAACTTTACGACCAATCCTTGCATTTACAATCTTCATAAGTCTGTAAAGCAAAGGAAAGCTGAAGTACAGATAGTCCTCACTTAATAACGGTAATTGGGACTGGAATTTCCATCACTAAGCAATGTGGTCATAAAGTGTGACATGTGACTGCACCGCTTAGCAACGGTAATTCCAGCAGTCCCCAGTTACCATCATTAAGTGGGACCTCATGTGATTGCGACTTCTGACTTCCTGCTGACTTCCCTATTGATTTTGTTTGTGAGAAGCCAGTAGGGAAGGTCACAAATTGCAATCATGTGACCACAGGATGCTGCAATGGCCAGAACTTCGAGGACCAGTCGTAAGTACCACTCATTCAGTGCTGTTACAAGTTAAAACAGTCGCTGAGCAAGTAGTCATTAAACAAGGATCACCTGTAAGCCCAGGCACAGTTTCAGTTAGTGACTACTTTGCTTAATGATCGAGTTACAATCATGGTCACTAAAGGAGGACTACCTGTAGAGCACTGGTCAGTAGGTGTCATCCTCACTAGGTAGACCAGACCAGACAATCAGCTCCACAGGAAGTTGCTAAGATCCAGAGCCCTTTTTGCCCGGATTGCAGTTCTTGCATATTTCTGTCAAGGTCACCTCCGTTACTCTACAGTAGGTCTCAATTTATTTAAACCATCTCTAAATTCCCCTGTTCAGTTTGAAACATTGATTGGCACACAATCTTTCTATATGTAAGCTGTTAAGTCTGACAGCAGTTCTCTAAATTGGGGGGAGGGGGGCAAAAGAAAACCTGGATTTAATGGTAGATCTTTTGGTGCTGTGTGCTACTATCACCAAGATTTACTGACTCCCACCTATCACAAAAGTATAAAATGACTACATACAACAAACCTAAATTAGCCTAAAATGTGGTTGGCAGCTTGTCCACTGGAATCCAGCCATTGCCATAGCATGTCATATGAACCTAACCATTTCACTAACCCATAGTATGGATCATTTCTTAGGGCACAACATTTTACACAAAGACAGAAACCCTATCTTGCTAACTCAGGTTGAGGGCTTTATATGTTGTAGGAACACAACCCAGAATAGCCAGAAGCGGGCATGTTTTTCCTATGCTGTCTGTGCTGTCTGGACTTCAGATGCTTCTAACCAGATTTAAAATACAGATTTTGCAGATCTGAAGTCTACTCCAAGTCCCTGGTTAGGGTCAAGAGTCTTTTAACTGCTGTACTATTGTGACATGGGCATGACCCAAAGTTGCTTCAGTGGTTGAGGTGGCTAAAAAATTAATTAAAAACAAACTGTCAGTGGAAAGTTTCCACTGAAATGAAATGCTCCTACCGCTTTAACCACAGTAGTTCCTCTGCTGTGGGGTTAAGAACTAACAAACACCAAGAAAGCAAGAGTGCATATCTGACAGCAGTGTGAGAAGTCACACCATGCTGCTTCCACCTAACGCCATCTTAAAAAGGCCAGAAGCAGCCCAGGATGACTTTTGTCTCCCCTTGGGTAAGTTGGCAACCTTGTAGGTATGTATTCCACAATGCTGCAGACTGATGAAATGAGGTGATAAAGACTTCCTACTTTGCTTCTGCTTTGAAACTAGATGGCCAAATGCAAGAAAAAGAAAAGGAAAGGAAATCCAGCCATCTTGAAAAGATAGCAGGTTTAAAAAAAAGATGGCTGTGCATTTTTTTAAATTCATATTTAAATCAAGGTGCTGGCCTAATGTGGATTTTTTTCCCTTGGGCCTATTATATCCTGTTCACCTTCTGTATGTTTCCAGAAGTTGTTTAGCAGCAATTCCAACAGAAGCAATTTTGTACCTTCTAAAGCTACAACTTCACCCTTTGGAAGTAGATTTTATTCATTCATTACCCTTTTATCCTGGTTTTTCCCTTCCAGAGCAAAAAATGACCCATGTTACTATTGCAAAAAAAAAAAAAGGATGGGGGATGAACAGCACTCATCCCATATTTCTATATCTAAAAATTTTTACTGGAAGGAGTCCCATTTAGAAGACTATTCAGAAACCTGGATTGCATATACAATTTCATTTCCCATTTTCCCCATTTTCCCCCTCTTGTTAAGTAAAATTGCTCAAAGGTTAGAAATTTAATTGTATTATAAGATATAATTTTGTTGAGTACAAAAATATACTCTTGTGGGGGTTTTTTTCTCCTCTCCCTCCCCCCCATTATATATGAGTGTGTGTGTGTTTCTGTCTGTATAATTAATTCTTCAATCACCCATTTTTGTTAAATGTCATTGCTTCATTCAGCTACTTACACAAGTTAATTTTTTTTCCTATTTACTCCTCGCTATTCTGGCCTCTTCACACCTGAGACAGGGATCCTCTTAAAAAATAAAACAATATTCCTTCCAACATCCTATCAAACCAATTGAAACAATAACTAACCCTCCTTCTTCCAAGTGAAAACGATTTCACTTTATCATTTCAATTATTATTTCACTTCTTATATTATTATTGTTTTTTTCCATACCCCATAATTTTTTCCATTATTCCACACCCAGTAATTTTTCCATTATTTTTCCATACCCAGTAATTTCACTGGAAATAATGAAGCTGCGCCAGCCCAGCTTCTGAGGAATAGGAATAGCTGAGATACATCGATGCCATTTAGAAGGGCAATTTACTATCATATTTTGCTGGGCGTCGATTTTTCAGTTTCATTTACTGTACTTCGCGAGGTATTTGTGCAGCCGAAACGCTGAGATAAGGACGCGCCTTCCTCCCAAAGGAAACCAGGACCGATCCTTATCCATACGGGTCTGCGCGCTCTCTATAACCACAGAAAGAAAAGATCGAGCGGCTCCGGTTTGCATCGATCTTACTCAGCGTTACCCGTGGCTAGTTTCTGGGGGAGCGGTGCCCGGGTTCAGCGCTCAGCGAGGTCAGAAAGCGGATTAACGCGCTCCCCGAGGCCGGAGCTCCGCGCTTGGCGCGCGCACAAACGCGTTACGCCGCCTTGCCCGCTCCCTGGCTGGAAAGGCGGGAGGTAAAGCGGGCACTTAACGCGCACCCGCACGTTTCACGCTCTTCTCCCATCACAGCTCCCCCTGCCCCTGTCGGGATCGTACCTTGATCGGGGAAAACCCGAATGATGTTCCCCGGGACTTGAAACTCCTCCACCCAGCAGGGGTTCCGGGGCTTCCTGGACGCCTCGCTTCGCTTCTGGAACATCTCCCAGAGCCAGGGCGGCACGGGCGCCGGAGACCGGGGGCTGGGCCGCGCCCTCAGCCCTAGGGACTTCAGGAGCTCCGTTTCCTGGGGGTGCAACGCTCTCCCTGCCCCCGGGAAGGCCCAGAGCAGCACCACGAGCCCCACCAGGGCCCCGAGGCGCAGAGTTGCCATGGGGAGGGCGGAGGAGAGCGGACTCTGGAGAGGAAGGGCCGGAGATGCGCTCGCCTTCTGGGGGCTGCGGGAAGAAGCCGACCTGAGGAAGGGGGTGGGGAGCGGGCCTTTTGGTCCTTGGAGGTCGCCCCCGCAGGCCAAAAGGAGGAGCAGAACCGGCCCCGAGGCAGGGGTGGGCGAGCCGCTTAACCCCTCCCTCCCCAGGCAGGGATGGCCTCCAGGTAAGAGGCGGGAGGGGAAATCCCCCCCAGGCCCTCAGCCAGAGGCCACCAGCCAGGCACACTTTAGCCACGTTAAGGGTGACCAGACATAGTGCCTACCTAAGATACAGACTTCCCATCCATCTTGGCTCCTGGCCGTGCACCTATGTTGGTCCTTTCCTTGGCAAAAACAGAGCACTGGCCAGGGGTCCTGGTGGTCTCCCATCCAATTACGAAGCAGGTCAGGTAAACGTGTGACCAGGATGCAACATTTGGCTTTAACCTTGGCATATTAGGTTTTTTTGTGGCTTGGCATATTTGTGGCCCAGTGCATCCTGTAAAAACAAAGCCCTTAAAGTGCCCCTGGAAGTTTTGTGGAGCTTGGAAGCATTTTCGGAAAGGCAGAGTATGCTTGAGGCTGATGTTTTACTTTGCAGCTTGCTGGCTTCCCGTTTTATTTTTCATTCAGATAATCTTAAAGAGATTAGATAGGAAACAGTCACATTGAGGACCCCGGGGATAGGATCTTGTGGAAACTTCAGACCTGATAAAGTTATTATTGGATAAATGTTTCCTAATCACAGCCCACTTAGACATAGGGAGCATCATCTCGAGGAAGGAATATTGCCTATGTGCAGTTGTGGCTGAAGGGAAGGAGACAAGGAACAAGAAGAGACAGTAAAGGAAGGACAGTGTTTGGTAAGAAAGCTGCAGGGATATTCTGGAGACCAGTTCAAATCCAGATGTTCTGGAAGGATTTTGTGGACTAGACTGTTGTGAGAAATTTGGTGCCATGAATATTGATTGATTTATGCACTGGATTTATGACTGCCTTTTCTACGGGAGGTCCTTCCTCCTTTTTTTCTCAACCACCACCTCTTACTGGTTTCTTCAAAGTCCTGAACTTGCCTGAAGGGGAAGTATGTTCATCTGCATTACAAAGGCCTTTCTGCCCACCTTCATTTTGCCTTTGCTGAACAAGGACCAGACGCATTAATAAATAGGGAGGGTTTAACCCACTGCCTCTCGCTCTCCATTTACAGAAGCCTTGGCCGCAGCTCCTCTAATTGCTAGTCCTCATGGCAGGAAGTGGTAACCTGAGACTGCATGGCTCCCCACTGACCTTTCTTTTGCAGTATTCCTTCCAGATATATTTTTCAAAGGCTTGATGTCATGCAAAATGAAAACTGACCTATGAAAACAGTCACCCCCAAGTCCAGAGAAAAATCAGGCCTCCAGTCCCACCTGGCCATGCCCACTTTACATCATTGCTCCAGCCCCTTCTGCCCTCAACTTCCTAAAAGAAGTTAAGAACATCTCCCTGGCCCCAAATGCTTGCCAAAACTGGCCTGTGGCTTTCAGAAGCTTGGATTAGATGTATAGCTCACGTTTAGTTCAGGATTTCAAGCAAGGGAACATTGCACTCCATCCCCCAATTTTTGCCATTTTAAGGCTTCCCCTTTCTTGGTGCAATGGAATTTGAGGCTTATGCAAACTCCGGTATCTTCACATCCCCGCCTGTCCTATTTATGCATTTCAAAGCCCTTTTGTGGACCTGATCTTGCAAGCTTGCCACTGTCCCACCCTTTCTTATCTAACCTGACTCACCCAGCCTTTGCAGGCATCAAAGCCAGTTTTTCCCCATGCTGTGGAAGATACAGAAAAAATCCTCCTGTTACCTCTGGCCTCGGGGCCCCTATGTCCTTCTGCCCCAGAAGTGCGGTTGCAGCCAATGGTCCAGTATTTTTGGTTGATTGAAGGGGCTGTGCAAGGATGCCAGTTTTGCGTGGTTACAGCTGTTCCTACTCCTGTTGCCTATTTATGAAACTAAGAATGCCTTTTAAATCTTTGGGTTAGTTCCTCCCTCTCGGGCCAATTAGATGTAGTGGGAAAGGCGGCGGGCTATCAGTGGGGACATCTGGGTTCAAATCCCTTCTCGGCCACAGAAAGGTAAAAATCACACTTTCAGCACAGCCTACCTCACAGGACTGTTGGGATAAAATGGAGACACCCCCCCCCCAATGTAATCTGCCTTGAGCTCCTTTAAAAAAAGATATGAATTGAATGAATAATAATATCAAATACAAATACTGCCTGTGATGGGTTCAGAGATGCAGTTTTGATTGTACATTCCTATGGTTGTTATGACTGCCGGAAACACTCCAACAAAGCTTTATTAGATTTCCCCCCTCATCTTTCCAAGCATAACTGTAACGTTCTGCATTAATCTCACAGCCGCCCTGTAAAGGAGTGAAGCTGAAAGACTGGCACACCAAGGTCCCTGGCTGTGGGTAAACCAATTTTCATCTCCTACAACATCCTAAAGCCCACGGTGGTGAAGGGGAAATCCTACATATGTGTGGATTAAATCACAGCAGATGGCAGCAACTTTGCTGGTCACAGAAAAAGGTAACTAACTAACCTGGTTAGTACTTAGCTGAGGGGGAAAAAAACAGAAAGGCAGCAGTAAACCACTTCTGTACTGCTGTCAAAAAAACGTTATAATACCTATCAATTGTACTTTGGCAAACACGATCCTAGAATCTTTCCCTTTTTAAATCATACTTATTTTAATTGCGTGTATAGCCAGTGGAAGCGAAGTACAGTGGGGCAAAAAAGTATTTAGTCAGCCACCAACTGTGCAAGTTCTCCCACTTAAAAAGATGAGAGAGGCCTGTAATTTTCATCATAGGTATACCTCAACTATGAGAGACAAAATGGGGAAAAAAATAAGTACAGTGGGGCAAAAAAGTATTTAGTCAGCCACCAACTGTGCAAGTTCTCCCACTTAAAAAGATGAGAGAGGCCTGTAATTTTCATCATAGGTATACCTCAACTATGAGAGACAAAATGGGGAAAAAAATAAGTACAGTGGGGCAAAAAAGTATTTAGTCAGCCACCAACTGTGCAAGTTCTCCCACTTAAAAAGATGAGAGAGGCCTGTAATTTTCATCATAGGTATACCTCAACTATGAGAGACAAAATGGGGAAAAAAATAAGTACAGTGGGGCAAAAAAGTATTTAGTCAGCCACCAACTGTGCAAGTTCTCCCACTTAAAAAGATGAGAGAGGCCTGTAATTTTCATCATAGGTATACCTCAACTATGAGAGACAAAATGGGGAAAAAAATAAGTACAGTGGGGCAAAAAAGTATTTAGTCAGCCACCAACTGTGCAAGTTCTCCCACTTAAAAAGATGAGAGAGGCCTGTAATTTTCATCATAGGTATACCTCAACTATGAGAGACAAAATGGGGAAAAAAATAAGTACAGTGGGGCAAAAAAGTATTTAGTCAGCCACCAACTGTGCAAGTTCTCCCACTTAAAAAGATGAGAGAGGCCTGTAATTTTCATCATAGGTATACCTCAACTATGAGAGACAAAATGGGGAAAAAAATAAGTACAGTGGGGCAAAAAAGTATTTAGTCAGCCACCAACTGTGCAAGTTCTCCCACTTAAAAAGATGAGAGAGGCCTGTAATTTTCATCATAGGTATACCTCAACTATGAGAGACAAAATGGGGAAAAAAATTTGGGACCAGAATTTTTGATGCTAAACGATGCAGTCATAACTCTCATCTTTTTAAGTGGGAGAACTTGCACAATTGGTGGCTGACTAAATACTTTTTTGCCCCACTGTAATTGTTGCCCTTGCCCTGCCCCCAACTTTGTTGTCTCCATCCACATTTTGGACTGCATGTCCCCTTCCTGCCTGACTTTGCACTCAGATTAAATGTGGATCATGGCCCCTGTTGGGTATCCCTGGTTTGTAACTTGAATAAAGAAATCAGAAGATCCCAGGAAGCAAATTTGCCCTGTTCACTACAATAGCATTAAGGTTAGCATTAAGGACAGGTGGTCCTCGAACTTACAGTGGTGCTGAATGAGTGGTACTTATGATCAGTCCTCATACTTACGATGATCGCAACATCCCCACAGTGACGTGATCACTGTTTGCAACCTTTGCTGGCTTCCTACAAGTGAAGTCATTAGGGAAGCCAGCAGGAGATGGAAAATGGTGACCATGTGACATCCTCGTTTAACAACCTGCGGTGATTAGCTTAACGACGGCAACAGGAAGTGCTGGCATTTTTGTTGCCAAGTGGCGTGGTCACGTGACATTGCACTTTATGACTGCATCGTTTAGCATCAAAAATTCTGGTCCCAATTACTATAATTGAGGACTACCTGTAATATGGTTATCACCATGCTCTCCCCTCATCTGATACATATAATTTACAAAAATGTAAAAAAGGAATTTAAAAAAGAAATGCAAATTACCAATCTCCGGGGTATACTTTATTTCCAAGAATCTCTAAGTACCTTCTTAAAACATAAAAAAATGGTGGGGTGGCTGCAGTCCCATCTGGAAATGTTCCCACCCACCCAGACATCTGGAGAGGGGCACTCTCAAGACGGTGGCAAGGGTCAGCCTCACTAGTTTGCCTTCTAGTAAATGAATGGGATGAGGAATGCAAACCTCGGCAGCTTTTTTGTGAATCAGCAAGGCCCTCTCGTGTCAGTCATTTTGTGAGAGCACCCACAGCATGCTCTAAACCAGTGTTTCTCAACCTTAGCGACTTTAAAATGTGTGGAATTCTAGGAGTTGAAGTCCACATATCTTAAAGTTGCTAAGGTTGAGAAACACTGCTCTAAACCTTCCAGATATGGTAGCCCATCCTACAAAAGTTGTTTGTATCTAAGACTGGGGTGTCTGGAGAGAGAAGTGTAAAGAAATACAAAAAGGGTCCACAATCATGCAGTTGAAGCCCTGTCTTTTTTTACTTGTGATGTGTGTAAAAAAAAAAGGGGTGGGCTTCAATCACATGATTGTGGCCACCTTGAGTTTTGTGACACATTCTCCCCCCAACACCAGCATACATCTTATCCTAAGGCAGTGCTTCTCAGCTTCGGCAACTTTAAAATGTGTGGAGTTCAACTCCCAGAATTCCCCAGTCAGCATGGTAAAAATATAACCCAATCCAACATTTTAAATGGTGCCAAGGAAAAATCACCCATCAGTGAGGTACTAAGGTCACCTGGCTTACAATTTCCTGCTCTCTCCTATTCCAAGCTATGTCTCAATATTGAAAGATAGACTGCCTCTGACAGGGAGGTACTCTGCCAGAAACTACAACAGCCATCAAAAACCCTGCAGTAATAGAGGGGGCCTCAAGTAATCGCATTTAGGATTCTGTCAAGCAGAAGTGCCAGTGAAACTGAATATGGACTGGTACATCACCCATAATGTAACTATGAATATTTATATATAAGCAAACTAAAAAGAATTTAAAAATCTCTTTTCGAAGGCAATTCAGAAAACATCACCATCCTTGTACTGTGAATTCAAGCCTTATTTTATATACAACTTAAACCAACACACACAGAGACATAAAGTACCACCACCCCATTTTCCTCTCCCAACCAGAACAAAGGGCAGGAAAAAACATTGTTTAGAAAAGGGAACAGTGATAAAAGTGCCACAGGGCATTGTGGGATACTCCTTTTCAACCCAAATTTGCAAGGCTGAAAATTCATCGATTCACACATGTGCTTTTACTCTTCCACCATTGCCTTTGCCAGCTGGAGATTCTGAAGGGGTTCCCCCTTATTTCTCTTAACCAATCAGGAGTCCTGAATCAAGGGGGAAGCAGTTCCGCCTTCTTGGGGCCATCACAGAGAGGGCCCTGCTGGGCAGAGACCACAGAAAAGTGACGGTTCCTCATCCCTCCACCCTGGTGGGAGCTCTTCCTACTAGGGCCCACTGATGCACCAAAGGGTGGAAGCAGCTACTCTCTGTGTGAATGCCCTGCTCCAACCTGACATCACAAAATGACACATCATCGGCCTCCTTCTACTTCTAGTTCCATCACTGTTAACGGAAATCCAGCTTGAATCCAACCCCAGAGGGTTTAAAAAAGAAAATTGGTAAATCATCCTGGGACATTGCTCCCCAGCTAGCACTAGTTGTCAACCCTGGGTGGGGTAGGGTGGCAGCTCTGTTTCTTTGGCCCCCTTGAGGAGGCTGGAGTTTGAACGAAGGGGTCCTTGCAGGTTTCTCCAGAGTCTGGCTCTGTGCAATGTGGTCCAGTGAGCAACCTCTATAACCGCTTGTCTTTCACAATGCCGTTCTTTAGATGATTTCTGTGGAAGAGAAGCACAGGACAGTAAGTGAAAAAGCTGGCTCTTACTATTTCATCATGCCATCCGACCACTGGCCTTGGGCGTGGCTATGCAGATGAACGGGCATGGCCCTGCAGATACAAGATCTCCTAATACAGGCAGTCCTCAGTTAATGACAGCAATTGGGATCAGGAACTCTGTCGCTAAGCAATCCCGTCGTAAAGCGCGACTTCACGTGATTGCACCACTTAGCAGTGGCAGTTCCAGCACTTCTGGTTGCTGTCCTTCAGCAAATCCCATGCTGTTATGATGATGCCATTTGCAACCTCCTGCCGGCTTCCCCATTGACTTTGCTTGTTGGAAGCTGCCAGTGAAGGTCACAAATGGCAATCACATAACTGCGGGATGCTGCGACAGCTGGAACTTTGAAGATTGAGATCATGTAACCTCGGGGACGCTGTGACCGTCATAAATATGAGGATTGGTTGTAAGTAGCACTCGTTCAGCACCGCTGTAAGTTAAAACAGTTGCTGAACAAGTGGTTGTTAAGCAAGGACCATCTGTAGAGACTTCATTCCCAAAAATTGGTTTAGGCCCAGGACAGAAACTAAAATTGGCTTTATTTAATTTAAGTCAAGATTTAATTACTAAATTAAATAAAATAAAATGCAAATAAAATGTGTTACTATAAATACTTCCCATATATTTCAGCCTCAGTATTTAAGATAAGGTTTTTATTTAATAGAAGCATTGCAATAGAACTGTTTTAGCACACTTCAATTTGCAGCGAAACTTTGAATTGGTGGAGTGCAGATGCTACAAAGCACATTCTTAACAGTGTCCCTGCAGATTACATTTAACAAACAACTGGGAATAATGGACACCTCCTTTCCCACCTGATCTGTTAAATCTGCACATATGTATCCCTAAGTAGATGTATATAATTTAATTAAGGGATACGTTCTGTTTCTTACGAGTGGTTGGAGTAGGTGGATTTTCTACCGTACCTGATTTGTAACATGCTTAATTGTGGAAGGTTTATTGATCTAGGAACTGGAGTTACTAGGGGAGGAGACATTTACGATACGTTGCATCATCTGTCAAATGGGTGACCAGGATGCAGAACCTCTTCATAAATGGCTGAAGGCAAAAGATGGGAGACAGGGAAGGGCAATCCTGCCATGGACAGAACTGAAGGGTGTGATCTGAGATACATCAGGTCACAATCCAAGGACTGTGTAACCTGTGTGCACCATCAAAGGGATGGACCTGCAGCCTGAACCCCAGAAAAAGTGTAAGAGGACTAAGTCTTTGGACATGAGCTACAGGATTTCCAGCATTTGGTGTTTCTCCTACATGTACTTAATCCTCTCTGCTACCCACCTCTCCACTTCATTCTGCACGTCAACCTTTTGTTAGGTCATTCCCTGAGATGATCTCTGATCATTATTATTTTGGGCTTTCCTGCTTAAGATAGAAGATCTGATGATTCGTTTCCCCCAAGTGCTTTCGTTTACTGCAGAGTGAAACTGAATCCGTGGCTTTTCACTCTTTGAGTAGAAGTTGTTTACTTTTCAATTTTAATTTTTTAAAAAAATATTACTCTTTGAGTAAGAGTTGGGGACAGCATTTTCTTCCCTCTCAATCTGTTCCACAATCTACCACCGCTCTGTCACTAAAAGAAGAACCTCACAGGGAATTTCCTACGCCGAAATGTCTGCATGAGAAAGTGAAAGAAGACAGCTACTTGAAACTGACACTATTCGTGGTCATCGCCCCAAGAGGAAGAGTCAGATAAGGCTGCAAGTCCCTTGCTCTTAAGGTGGTGTTTCTCAACCCCAGCAACCTGAAGCTGTGTGGACTTCAGCTCCCAGTATTCTGGGAGTTGAAGTCCACACAGTTTATTGGCTTTGGTCCTAGGCCTGGAGTTAATATTGTTGTATTTTGGGGGGGCCTGTTTGTGTTGTTTTAGTCTGGTTATAACCATTTTTATGGATTTTGGGGGGTTGTGTATGCCACCCAGAATCCATTGGAGTTAGGGGGTTATAATAAAAATAAATAAATTTTCAAAAAACTGTCTAGGTGTGGTTATTAAATAAGTAAGTAAGTAAGTTTGGGTTGAACTTAATTTGTCTAGTATTGTGACTTGTCTTGTTACGTTGCCTATCCCAGTAATATGTCCCAAGCAGAACATAATAAACAGACTTTCTTTGGTCTGTTAGATAATCCTTTACTCACGGCTGCCCAAGGGAGTAATAGACTGAGCCCTAGTGTGATGGGTTGTGAGAATAACCTTGAGGAAGAAGAGGAAGAGCTGCAGCCAAGGCAACAGTCAGATAAGAGAAACCTCAGTCCAAAGCAGAAGTGTAATTTGAGAAAGTATCTCAGACTTGACCCTTCCTAGTTCTCTGTAGGATAAAGGCAGGGAGGGGGAGGCACATTCAGAGTTTCAAGATTGATGTCAGCTCTACAAGGGAGAACCAAAACACTGAAGTCATGAATACTAAAATTACTTTTATTATAGGGTTAGGGTAACAGAATCTTGCAACTCTCAATGTGCCTTCCCCTGCCTTGCTTTTATCCCAAGAGAACTAGGCAGAGTCAAGTTTGAGACGTTTTCCCAAATTACATTCGAGACTCCGATTTCTCTTATCTGACCATTGTCTTGGCTGTGGCTCTTCCTCCTGTTCCTCAAGGTCATTCTCTCATCCCGTTACACCTGGGCAATAATCCCTTGAGCCAGAAATGCTCTCAACTTGACCATGAGGATCAGGTTGAAACAGATCCACCAGAGAATGGGATGTAAAGCATTGGGAGGAAACCAGATCTGGCCAAAGCTAGATTCTGTAATTAGCAATGGAAGCGATCCTTTCTATGGACAAACTCAGTCTACAGATTCACTGCTCCTCTCAATATTCCTTCTTGACATGCAGAAAGTGGCATGTTTGGAATCTGACTATTTCGGAGAACTTCTGGTTGTATTGGGCCTGGGGTGTTGTTAAAAGAATTATTTTGAGGAACTGGAAAAGTAGTCAAAGTCTTTTATTAAAGACTGGATTCAAGAGATCTGTAAGTTAGCCATTTTTGAAAATACAATTTTATCTACTAGTCAAAAAAGGACTCAGTGTGTTCTTTTATGGCAAAGAATTAAAGGATCAATTTTTAATTATTATTTTTTTTATTTATTGTTATGTATTATTTTATTATTAGAATTAAATAATCAATTTTACTATCCTTTTTTTAATGTAGATTTAGACATTTGTTTAATATTTATTTAAAATGTGACATATATAATTTCCCCCTTTCTGACTATTTTTTCATTTTGGTTTTAACTTGGGTTGCTGTATTTTTTAATAGTTTTTCTTATATTGTATGTTTTAAAAAAAATCTATTTTTTTTTTCTGTAAAATTTGTTAAGATAAATAAAAATTGAAAAAAAGAGAGCAAGAAAAGGAAGTAGCCTGAGAATCAAATGGAACCTCCATGTTCAGTCCCAGTCTACTCTTAATGCTAAATACTATTTGCTGAAGTAAACACAGGGTTCTGTTCAGGGGCTTCTGGCTGGCCAAAGCTGGAAACTGGATGCTGGACAAAAGATAAATTCTTCAGGAAAGCAATTCTGTTATGTGTTGATTCTTTCCATTCTTACCAGCCATGTTAGATGACTAAGCCTCCATGCTGAAGGGCAGTCTATCCCAAAATCTTAATTTTGGGGAAAGTAAATGGAAGCAGATGGCCCTTGTCTTCCTATCCTCCTTGTAAGCCTCTCAGAAGCAACTGACCGGCCATTTGTTAGGAGGAGGATATTGAGGGAAAGAACAGACACCCATCATTTCTAGACATCCTTACCCATCCTTCCAAGAGTTGTAGAGGTGAAGTTCCCTGTCTGTCTTCTTAGAGGCAGCATCAATGTCATATTCCCGTACATCCTTCACCTCCTGGACTTGTCCAAGCAAAACTTTGGCCACAAAGACAACAATGTACTGCCAAGAGGAGAGGGGGAGAGTCAATCAGCTTGCTGGATCACAGATTTTCCCATCATGCTTTGTGGCCTCTTACCTGCTTCCTCACCCCGCTGGGTCAACTTAGCATATGGGGACATCCATACCCAGGTTCAGATCTACATTCAACTGAATGGGGCAGATTTAGCATTCTTTCCTAGCCTAGGGCTGGGCATTTCATCAAGGCATTTAGAAATCAGTCTGCTGCCCGGAGAAAACCAGATCAAAGGCCGGGCATTTGTCTCAAGTTTCTTCCTTTGGGAGCAGTGGTTCTATATAAATCCATGTGTATTTAGAACAACTGACCACACCAATAAAAACAGACAAAGAATGCCCACGAAGAGCACAATATTTACTAGGGCTATACTACAGACACACAGACACACACACGGGCTATCTCTCAGGACCCTGGAAGTGCACCTTCTCTGTGGAAGCTCCTGCCCTCTGGAATGAGGCTCCCCCCAAGACCCGAGGTTTCCCCCAAGATCCGGATGGCCCCCACTCTGCTGTCGTTTAGAAGAGCCGTGAAGACCTGGCTCTCCACCCAGGCCTCAGATGAAGGGAGAGTGAGATCCCTCACTTCACTGTGCTTGCCATCATTTATCCTTATTTTTATTAATTTTATTGTAATTTCTGTGTTCATGGTGGTAAACCACCCCGAATCATTGAGAGTTGGGAGGCATACAAGTTTAATAAATACTAATTGTTATAGAAATTCTGAGAGTTGCTGATGTTTGGGGTCCCAGCCCCATGAGAGATGTAGGGAATATAGACCCTATAGCCGACCTTCTTGGCAGTGGCCCCAATGCCACTGGAACAGCTGGCTCCCAGAGGTGCACCTGACCCTTTCGCTCTTAGCCTTCCACACAACGGATAAAGTGATTTTGTTCGGCTGAATTTTTGCATGTTTAGCAGCGACATGAAGCTGCTGATTTTGTTCGGGATTCTACCATGCTGACCTAGATTTGACGATGCTTTGCAAGCTTATGTTTCAGGGAGTTTTACTGTATTCTATTGCATTTTATGTTTGTAGATCACCCAGAATCTTGGGAAAAGGATTATATATATATATATAAACCTTTTCCCAAGATTCTTGAAAATAGGAGGGAGTGCTATA